GGGGGATTTAAACATCCCCCCGAAATTTTTTTCTCCCCCCGAAATTTTTTTCAACTTTTTGGATTTTTGTGCACATGTGGGGACCGCCCCATGTGTGCACAAACCTCCCCCCCCAAGGGCCCCCGGAGCGGGGATTTAGCAATCAGCACTCACGGGGGCAACTTGGCTATTAGTATATACATGAGAATGGCTGAGTGGTTCAAACAGTGATCTTCATGACAGATTCAGGATCTGAGCCCGGGTCTTCCCAGTCCTGGACGCTAACTACTATACCACATGGTCCCTGGTTGTAGAAGCCAGTCACAGATTCTTCTGTATTTCTGAAACAGATCCTGGTTGAACTTTACAACCCCAGCTGCTCTAAAGAATGGACTGTATGAAATTATACCCCGCTCATCTGAAGTCCCTCACCTCCCCATTGGTTGACAGAAGGAGGAAGGATTCATGATGCTTCTAGTAATGTCACTAGTATTGCCACCACATCCACCAGTCACAGAGTTTCTGTCACAGTATGAACAGAAATGTGTGTGGCTTAGAAATCTCTTTGATTCAGGTGTCATAGCCCCTGTCAGGATGGGCATGTGTGTCTGTCTGGGAGAGTGAAGGGCTACATGCATGCTTATATAGTGATTAACAAGTGATTAACACATGGAATTCACTGCTACAGGAGGTGGCGGCGGCTACAAGCATGGATGGCTTCAAGAGGGAATTGGATAAACATATGGAGCAGTGGTTTAAGACACTGAACTGCAGGCTGTGGAAGGTCGGTAGTTCAGCAGTTCGAGACCCAAGCTGCCGCATGACGGAGTGAGCTCCCGTCTCTAGTTCCAGCTCCTGCCAACCTAGCAGTTCGAAAGCAAGAAATTGCAAGGAGATAAATAGGTACCACTTCAGTGGGAAGGTAACAGCGTTCCGTGCACCTTGGTGTTTAGTCATGCCGGCCACATGACCACGGAAACGTCTTCGGACAGCGCTGGCTCTTCGGCTTTGAAACGGAGAGGAGCACCACAACCCTAGAGTCGGACTTGACTGGCTTTCGAGCAAGGGCACCTTTACCTTTACCTTTTATAGATAGCAACTCTCAGTCTGGGGCAATTGATGCTCTGTATTCTTGGTGCTTGGGGGGGGCAACTGTGGGAGGGCTTCTAGTGTCCCGGCCCCACTGCTGGACCTCCTGATGGCACCTGGTGTTTTTGGCCGCTGTGTGACAGAGTGTTGGACTGGATGGGCCATTGGCCTGATCCAAGATTGGCTTCTCTTACAGTCAATGCATACATGGCAGATCGGGGTGAAGCCTGCATGCACCTCCTCCAGCTCTGCTT